ATATTGTCATTTTCTATGATTCTTCACTAGAAAAAAGGTCATCAAAACTTGGCTATGGATGTGGGTGTGGGTGGGGGTGTGAGTATGAGCGTCTTGATAACTCAATGATAATAATTAGATTCGAAGCAGAAAACGACGCGTTTCGACTCTTGCTCAAGGAGTCATCATCAGGTAATCTTTAGAATCTGAAACTACAAGATTTCGAAACACATAAATTCATTGTTTAACTCCTTAATATTCGAAAGATAATGAAGATAGAGTTCAACAAAGGAGTTTTTTTCTAGAAGATCAGAAATGTAATAGAAGAATACAGCCAAGAAGAGCTAATCATCATTATTCTGTAATTTCGAAAGAAGTACAAACGATATGATTAATTTATTGTTCCATATCGTAGTTAATCAATTGATTTATATGTTTCGAAATCTTGTAGTTTTAGATTCTAAAGACTACCTGATGATGACCCTCTGAGCAAGAGTCGCAACGCGTCGTTTTCTGCTTTGAATCTAATAATTATTATTGAGTTATCAAGACGCTCATACTCACACCCCCACCCACACCCACATCCATAGCCAAGTTTTGATGACCTTTTTTCTAGTGAAGAATCATAGAAAATGACAATATTATATCGAATCTTAATCAAATTGGCCTTAACTCGTCGGAGGCACAAAAATACATTTTCTTGAGTTTTGAACTGAAATAGGCTAACCTTTGACACAAATGTCACACATCAGTCGTAGATACTTCGTCATGGAAGAAAAATACCGATAAATCAGACTAAACTTAGAAATCAGTTTTATAAATTAAGAATTCAATAATCCGATTATGGTATTGTCATTTTACCTTATTTTAAGTTCTAATGGATGTAAAAGATAAATATACTTCATTTAATTGATTTAAGTGTTATTCAATCACATAATTTAATAGAGTAGAATGTCAATCGAACGTCGACAAATTTATTAAATCTCTTGTAAATTTCATGACATTTAAATTGAAAATGAAATTATAAAAACAAAACAAATCTTTTATGTTTTGTATAATCAAATATCGGATATTTAGACAGTTTTGTATTACTAATCCTCTTTTCTTTATCTAACCATCTTTATTTTATAACAGACGCAAAATAACAAAATAAAATGATCAGTTGCTGTATATGGATTTGGATTTTTGTTATTTCATCTGTATGTTCTTTCAGCCATGTTGATTACAATATCGGTGGAACAACTGCAAATGGTTGGGAATTTGTCCGTGATTTATTCAAAAAGAATTTTGTAGAAGAACAAGATTTAGGTGCTTCAATAGCACTCTATCATCAAGATAAATTAGTTGTAGATTTATGGGGTGGATGGTTTGATCGTTCTTTTACTAAACCTTATGATAATCATACATTACAGTTAGTATTTTCAACAAGTAAAGGTGTAGTAGCTATTGCTGTTGCATTATGTGTTCAAAAAGGATTACTTAACTATTCCGACTTAGTTACAAAATATTGGCCTGAATACGGGCAAAATGGTAAAGAAAACACAACAGTAGCAGATATTCTTTCTCATCGTGCTGGAGTGCCATTTGATCCAGCCTTAATCGAACAGATTTTGAATTGGACAGCAATGGTTCACTCATTAGAACAACGGAAACAACTATGGCCTCCCGGAACTTCTCATAGTTATCATGGATTAACTTATGGTTGGCTTGCTGGAGAATTAATAAGACGAGTTGATCCAAAGAAGAGAAGTGTAGGACAATTTATTCAGGATGAAATTGCAAGTCGTTTAAAAATTGAATTTTATATTGGTTTACCATCAAAAGAAGATTATCGTGTATCACCAATTTCTCATAGTTTAGATACTATTCAAACAATGAATGATTCACTGAAAGCTTTATATGTGTTTTTCAATGAACCTCGTCTACATCATGCTGAAATTCCAGCAGGAAATGGAATAACAAATGCTCGATCATTAGCAAAACTTTATGCGTCACTTATCACTGATTTAGATGATGAAAAACAAAAACGATTGTTAGACGAAGCAGTTTTGAAACAAGCAATAAAATCAAATACTCCTAAAGATGAACCTGACTTTCTAGGAACTGTACCTTTAACATTTAGTATGGGATTTTTACTTCTTGATGAAACATTTTCATTCTTTAAGTCAGAAATATTTGGTCATTCTGGTAAAAGTTTTCAAAGTATTTTTTATTTATTCATTTTTCTTATTGTGATTTAGGATCTAGTGGTAGTATTGGTTTCGCTGTACCTTCAAAAAATCTTTCATTTGCGTATGTTACGAATCAACCTGACATGAGAACAACAGATCGTACTTTTCCTCGAATTCGAACGATTCTTGAAAAAGTTGTTACAAAGATCAGGGACAATTATTAACATTCAATTATTTTTATGTCGCTGCGAAAAAAAGTATTTATAGAATGACCATTTATCTTCTTATCAACTCTGATACCTATTCATGTACTTGATAGTTAATCTAGCTAAATAATACTTAGAACGCATCATATAGTTCTTTAGAAAATGAAGGAGGTCGTTAAGAGGCAAAAATGGCCCCCTGTTGGAATTCGACTGTGTCCTTCCAGTTTCATTTTTGTAAGTACCAGAAGTCTATTTCTATTGAAATTAAACAATTTGATGCGTTCCATAACAGGGTCATATATTGCAGAGTATAGCATGATGGTAGAGAACTTTTGCCTATCAGAAAGATGCAGGTCCATTCTGAATTATATACTAATCGATAGATTTCATCGCGATCTATCAGATAATGGTAAAACATCTAGAGAAAAAAAGGGATATTTGTAAAACAAGCGAAGACTCACGAAGATCCCCAATTCGGAAGCTGATATAACCAATGGATAGAGCTCGTTAAGCTGATTCTGCGAAGACCCAATTCTCCTCACCAGTGGTTAGGCCGACTCAACTTAGGTACAGATCCAAAATGGTAGGTTTATATATTGTGCTCTAAGAAAAACAGCATGGATCCAGTTTTTCAATTTTTAGAGCATCTGTAAAACAAGCGAAGACCCATGAAGACTCGCGAAGATCTCTAAATCGGATACTAATGCCATCAGTAGATAGAGCTCGTCGAACTGACTCTACAAAGATCCATGAGGGTGTGGGTGTGGGTGTGGGTGGGTGTGGGGTGTGGGATGTGGGTGTGGGGTAGGATGGTGAGTGTTGTTCAAAGAAAGACAATCCACACTCACACCCATACCCACACCCTTTTTTCTAATCCCCAGTTAGAAATTGATTCTCTCTATGACAAACATACCATCTAGTAGAGAATTAAATTCTCTATCGAATGGTCTATTCATTCATTTTTTGCGATGGATATTAACTCGACTATAGCCCATCTTAATACGGCAAACCATTGTATGAGAGTTGAAGTCGTGTCTTTTTTTCTATTCGAAATGCTCGTTAGAAATGGATCCTCTATATGACGAATATAGCATCTTGTAGATAATTAAATTCTCTATCGAATGGTATCTTCATCCTCTTTTTGCAATGGATTTTAGCTGGACTAGAGCCCATCTCAATATCGGAAACCCTTGCATCAGGGTGAAGATTGGGTCCTTTTTTTTCCGTTCTAACCCCCAGTTAGAAATCGATTCTCTCTATGACGAATATATCATCTCGTAGAGAATTAAATTCTCTATCGAATGGTATCTACATCCTCTTTTTGCAATGGATTTTAGCTCGACTAGAGCCCATCTCAATGTTGGAAACCATTGCATCAGAGTGGGTGTTGTGTCTTTTTTTCTATTCTAACCCACCGTTAGAAATGGATTCTCTCTATGATGAATATACGGACTTGTAGAGAATTAAATTCTCTACAAGATGATATGTAGCATTCGTCCGGGCAATTGTCTGTCTAGTGCACAAATTGATTTTTTTTCAAAATTGTGTGCTTTTTTTTCGTCGTGCTAGGTTCACACTCATTTCTGTTGCTAAGGTCACCATGGCCGAATTGTTGGCCTCCACATTGATGTTTTTTAATTTTCTGATTGGTGATTCAAACGAGTAATATACTTTTGTGTCTCGTCGTGGTAATTCGTCGTGTTGTGCTAGCTTCACATCGATGCTTTTTAGCGCCTTTGTGCGATTGCTTTGTGGAAAAAAGCACAACAAGAAAAGAAAATCAAGCGTAATTATCTTCTGTTTTATGAATTCGGTCTAAAAACAATAATTGTTGAAATGAATTTGAAAATCACAGGTATCGCGAATTAAATTTGGGATTTCAATGTGGATAAAATAAAATATGTTATTTACTGATGTTAGCTGAAATAATTTAAAGTATCTTTGTGTTTTCAATCTGATGCGACATTTTTTTTCAATTAACATATGAATATAATTCTAAAAGCTCTAGATTTTATTTGCTTTTTTAAGGACTAATTTTTTTTCCATGAGTGAAATTTGAGGTTTCGATTTTGTTACTTGTAAAATAACTTTTTGTTTTGATAATGAATTTGTTAATGTTTTCTGAGTTTTCATCATTCGAATAAGTACTGCTTTGAGTAGCCATTTTATGACTTCCATCTGTTGTTTGATGAACACTTTCGATCTCATTTTGTACGACTAATTTTAATGGAACATTTGTATTTACTCATTGGTTTGTTTTACGAAAAAAAATTTTTATTTGAAGTAAAGATTAAATAAATAATTACTTTCTAAAATTAGTCTTTAAATGAGCTGAATAATTCATTTTAATATCAGTATACTTAAAATCTTCATCTTCATAAATATTTGTGCATACTAATAATTTGCTTTTGAATAAGCCTAAAAGAACCTATAGTAATTATTCGGTTTTTATTTGTGTTTCATCTTGCATTTGTTCAATTCTCACCAGTATAGTTATCAGTATAAAAATTTGTTAAATTATTATATATAGATTTTAAGTCAAACAGCATTTTTATTATCAAGTGAGATGAACAATCATGAAAATTTTACTTCCGTGAGTAAAATGAAATTGGTTGAGAAAGATAACAACCATAAGTTTGAATTGAGAATCATCAGAGCAAAATCAACTACAAAAAAAAATATCAGACAAACTTTTATGAATGAATATTTTTTCAATTCATTTTATCCATATTAATGATATTGTAACTTTTACAATAATTTTCATTTTCAAGAATTAATAATTTACTCGCATCAGTATTTTGAAACATTTGTTCAGGTTTTGATATATATTTATAATAACATATTGAAAATCAAAGCGAATAAAAAATATGCCATGGTGAGATGAAAATTTAATTTTAGTTTTGATATGATTGATTCTTCATAATAATCATTCTATTCAGTTGATTGACTAATCAATCGTTTTTTGTAACATTTTACTATAGAATTTTAGAAAAATATCTTTATCTTCAATATAATTGAAAACGATCTAAAACATCCATAGACTCATTTTCGAAAAACTAAAAAAAAGTATCATAATTTGATTGCATTTTTTCTTCGAGATTAGTTTCTTCAATAACTTCTACAAAGACCAAACTATTAATCAAACATTGATCCCATGAATCAATACGAACAAACCTTTCTCTGAGCAATGCATCACAATATCTAGCTAATAATTCAGGAGATTTAGTTCTACTATTAGCTGCTTGTGTAGCGGGATTATTATTTATATATTAATAACAAGCCTGTGTTCTTTACTCTTCAATTTTCACGTGTACAGTAAAAGAAGTCATTATAACATAACCTTCTGTTTGAGAATAAAAGAAACAGAATACAATATTTACAATGATGTAAATGATTTTTTTATATTCATCGAAACTTCTAGATAATCTCTATTAAATGTAAAAAGCATCATGGATTTATTTTGACAAACAAAGAAATTATAAGTTTACTTTCATGTGTCACTTTTGAAACAGCTTGTATGTATGATTGTAATAAATGAATCAGAGAAGTATTTTCTAAAGTTGTGTAGATGAATGTGTTTCCCTTTCTGCTATTATATATTACTTATTTTGATACAATTTTTTTTTCATATAGCAATATAATTTTCATTAAAAGACCGATCAGTAATATATATTTTCTTTTTGTTTTTCTTAAAACAATTCATTACTGTAGTAGTTTGAGGTACTTTGTTCTAAATAGTAAAGTACCAATAGATATTTTGTCAACGGAGACGAAGCACCGCAATATATTTTGTTTCAGATTTCTATTTAAAAACTCTGTTGTCAAGATTTTTTTCAATGGTGCTTAAGTTTTTTAAATGATTCTAATCAATCATCTAGAATGTCTTTTTGTAAAGGTTTTAGCTTGTTCAAAATATGAGAGGATCAATAACATTTTCGAATGCAATTACTTCTATCTCATGATGCAGATATATCGTAGTATAGTTTAGAACGAAGGAGAAGAAATATGACCAAGATAGTGCATATAGAGAGGGTATAAAAGTTAACAAATAAAAAGATATAAAAAGAACTATGAAAGATTCGTTTATGTGAAGAAATCGCTTTTATAATATTTCGGTTTACATACGATATAAATATTCGAACTTTACTAAGTATAAAATATTTTTCAGTTAATTTTTAAGGATAAAATTTTTCTTTCAATTTTCATGATACAAACGAACTTTGGACTCTATTCATGGCTCATATCATCAGAATAAGCTAATAACTTATTTGGAATTGAGGAGAATATTCGTAAGAAAATTTATGT